GCGCACCGTAGTAGCACTGCTCCTACTCTCCTGTCCGATCTGTCATGTACCCCTAATCTCACTCATATTAATCATCAAATCAAATTAAAAAAAAAAATTAAATCATTAATAAAGTAAGGATTAGCTTAAATAATCCAATTAGCCCAATAATTATTGCAGCACCTAATGATAGACTTTTTTAATATTTTAGGCTAAAACAAAATGCGAAAAACCCGCTATAAATGACAAACTCGTTCCCTATATCCATTCCCCAAGAAAAACACAAAATAAAACACCACTCTATTGCTTGCTTCATCAGAAGAAGAAAAAAAAAAAAAAAGAATCTTTTGAATAAAAATTAGAACTTTAGAAAAATTTCCATGGCTGAGAACAAGGAGGAGGATGTTAGGCTCGGCGCCAACCAGTTCACTGAAAAGCAGCCGCTGGGCACGGCCGCTCAGACGGACAAGGACTACAAGGAGCCACCGCCGGCGCCGCTTTTCGAGCCCGGCGAGCTGAAATCATGGTCCTTTTACCGGGCCGGGATAGCCGAGTTCATGGCCACTTTCTTGTTTCTGTATATTACGATATTGACAGTGATGGGTGTTGGGAGGTCGCCTAATAGGTGTGCTTCTGTGGGGATTCAGGGTATTGCTTGGGCCTTTGGCGGTATGATCTTTGCACTTGTGTACTGCACTGCTGGTATCTCAGGTCAGTTACTTTTTCTCTTTTCTCTTTTATATTTATTATTTCTGAATACCCCTTTTAAGAGTTTTAGTTTTATGTATGACTGGTTTTCATAATTAGCTAGTTTAATTCTCAGAAGTTTCTTCAGTTAGCTCAACAGAAATTGATTTTTGGAACATTTTCTGTTTGTGTTTTTGTATTATTGGGCTGTTTTCTGTTCAGTGGTCTCGACGGTCCCGTTACGGAACCATTCGGTCGGGATTTATAACCGTTGGATCAACTATCTACGACAGTTACATGATGATTTAACGGTTACAAATCCCAACGGAATGGTTCCGTAATGGGACTGTAGTATTTCCTTTGTGTGGTTATAATCCTTATGATATTTTTCCGGGAGGTATGTT